TTACAAATCCCTGTAACGCCGAATTGGAGCGCAGCTCTTGAAGAGGAGTAGGGAAGGAAGGGTACTGAGGGGGGGGGGGGGGTCACGTGATCTCGGGGGGGGGGGGGGGGAGGGTGTCACGTGACCTCGGGGGGTCACGTGATCTCGGGGGGGGGGCATGTGACCTCGGGGGGTCACGTGACCCCCCCGGTTACGCCGACGCCGACGCCGCTCAGGCTGGAAACGGGCCCCTAAGAGCTGCGCTTTAAAAAAATTAAAGCCGTTTGCAACTCCCTGTAACGCCTTGCTCTTGAGGAGGAGGAGGGAAGGGTACCCAGGGGAGGGTATACCCCTCCTCCCTCCTCCTTACCTCCTCATCCTGCCTCCTACTCCTCCAAGCGGCGTCGGCGTAACCGTGAGGTCACGTGACCCTCGTGACCTCGCGGGGGTCACATGACCTCAAGGCGGGTCGCGTGACGTCACCGGGATCACATGACCCCCATCAGCGAAGGACCTCCCTTAGGGGGTCACGCGACCCCCCTGAGGTCACGTGACCCCCCTGAAGTCACTTGACCCAGTGTGGACGTTTAGGCACTTTGCCGAAATGTTAACATGCCGAAACGTCGCCGCGGTTACGCCGACGGTGACGCCACTCAAGCCACAAACGGGTGCCTAAGAGCTGCGCTCTAAAACAGTTTTTTTATTGGCAGTCTAGCAAAAGCTCGCTAATATTGCCGCGCGGGCAACTGACCAAGTAGGCAGCGCCCTAGGGACCTAACAGTTGTCGCACTTGCCTTCCACGCAAAAATGCCAGGGGTTCAATGTCTGGCCCAGGGTACACTTCTTTGTTGGCACTGCAATGTGATATTCTGGTAAATTCGGGAACCGTGTTGCTGATTCGAGGACAGAATGTTCTACGCGTCGAACCTTCTGCGCCGATTGTTCCAGAAGCCCACGCGTGTACAAAAGGGGCTCCGCGCAGACTTGGACGTAGTTCAACCACTCTACTCAAACTACTGTAGTTTAACTACTTTTCCGAGTAACTTGGTAACTTTCAATTACAACTTAATTTGGGGAATTAGTAGTTTAATTTAAATACAATTTTCAGGTAACTTCTCAAATTACCAACCACCATCGAAATCTAGTGCTAATTTCGCCCATCACGAACGTTTGAGCGCAGAAATGAAAAAGACGCCGGCAGAGAAAGTGGCATTCCGGAACAAAGGGTCCACTCACATTCTGTTCCCACGCGCTTATGCTCGGCAGCCGTAGAAACTGCACCACAGGCGTCCTTGGGCCAAGGTGGCGACGAGCAGCCAAAACATAACACCGACGCGCACGAACGCAGAAAGAGATGCTTAACAGGCCTTGGTCGGGTATTGACCTAATCCGGTTATGCAAGCAGGCACCGCGCCTCCAGCTGCAACCGTAAAGACGGGGACACTTCGAGGGTTGTTGTTTTCATGTTGTCTGCCTTTAGTGAGTTCTGACTCAAGCGGTTTGGGAGTTCCTCATGAGGCGCCACTGAAATTACCTCACAACTGGGCGCCAGTTCCCATGGTCGCCTCGTCGTCAGCGCATACTCCCTTGCAAACCCTGACTCCCCCGCGCACAAACGCAGACACGGATAATCCGTTCATGGCAGCATGTTCCGCTTCCAGCTGCAACTGTACGAGCGACGATGCTTATTCACGTAATGCTTCGTGTGCTTTCGACCTTCCACTAGAGGGAGATCTCATAGCTGAAAACGATTTACTTGTCAGGGGGTGTGTCAGGCGCCGTCAGGACATCGTAGTCGCCGGCGAGTAATGCGAGTCACCCTTGGGAGATCCCTTCGTTGGACAGGCGTCAGTGGCGAGGTATACAGTAAAACCTCGTTATAACAAAATGGGATATAACAAACTAATGGATATAACAAAGCAATCATAATTCCCCTTGCTTGCTATAGTGGGAAGAAATGGACATTGGCTATAACAAACTAATGGTTATAACAAAATAATTATGACCGCTCCTTCAACTTTGTTATAACGAGGTTTTACTGTACTTCAATTCATCTTCTTTTAAACCAAAACAATTTTTTTTAGGAGCGTAGAGTAGCGCTGCAACGAGACGCGCAGTCGTCCGGATGGCCTCATCGTCGTGGCGCGAGACTTGAATCCTTGACGGTCAGGTGCACTCGCTCACCGTATCTCCGAACGTCGTGGGGATAAAGAGAGACTATTCATAACAATCTCAACTTGCCGAAGAAAAAAGGAGAGTTTGTCATAAAACATACTCCAGCCGAAGTAAATCTCACATGTTTCGTCGTGGACACCGAAGATGCCGACACCCACTTACCCGACCCTGCACAGCGTGTTTCTGAAATTTAACGCTGCCGTTCCATCCAGCGCGTCGGTGGAACGTCATTTAGCTTGGCTGGGGACATCTTTAGGAAAAGGGGAAAACCCTCCGATAAGAACTTTGCAAGTCAATTGCTTCTGCGAGCGAATAAACTATTTTGGTAAAAACGCAATTCAATAAATGACTTCATTTATTTTAGGCTCGCAGGGCTTTAACGGATCAAAACAGCTGTTCATTTCGCTACCACAAAAATATAAAAAAGTAACTTCAAAAGTAACCTCAAAAGTAACTCGCTAATATTTTTACAGTAGTTAGTAGTTTACTCAATTACTATTACAAATGCGGAATTTTTACACTACTCCAATTACTATTACAAATGCGTAACTTCTACTCTACTCCAATTACTTTTGGCGTCGATACTCAGTAACTCAACTTAACCACCTTTTTTGAGTAATTTGTACATGTGTGGCTCCTCGTGGCAAACCGCAGTCAGTCTCGCTCCAGCGCTCGATCCTGCTGTTTCGCCGACATCGACGGCTGCGACGCTAACTTACTTCTATCTTGTTTTGGGCACAAAATCGCCTCATTAAACGTTGAGTTTTTTCAGTTATTTTTCGTGTCATCATTTGTCATTCGTGACAATATATATGTTCCCGTTGAAGTAAGAAGATACTGTGACTTCCACCCTCTAAAATTCAGTAATCTGGGTAGAATTTGCATTACCGAGTTTGTACATACTAGGGAGGATATTTTTAATTATAGACAACTTTCTAATCGCAGTTTATTTTGACTTTCCATTGCCTGGCCCCCTCATATATCTATTGTAAATAGGCATTTAATTCCCCCTGGTCATCATAGCAAGTAACATGTTTTGAGTAAAGCAAGCCGTCATCTGCAAACAAGCGGGCAGTAGCGTTTGAACATATTTTTTTTAGATAACATAAGAACATAGGAGTTTAAATGACATAAGAATGAAATTGGTCCGAAGACAACTCCCTGGAGAACGGACCGCGCGCGCGCGACGTCGTCTTTCCTGCAAGACACTTGATCCGGCTCCTCACGTGATCGGATCTCGGCGAATAGCGGCGCGGCGGCACGTGGAAAACAGACGCGTAACTCTGGCTCCAGTAGGGAGCCTACACAGTCACTTTAGGCCGGTTTGCTGGTGGCCGCCATCTGTCGATTCCAATCCAATACCGTGCGAATTTTACGTGACCTTCGGGAGGGGCGCGACGACGTGAAAGACGTGTAGTCACGTATTACCTTCACTGCTCTGCGTTGGCTAGGACGGCAAAAATCGTCCGCGGTGGTCCATCGTGGGGCGAAACCGGGTATGGTGGGCAAAAATTAATCCTTCGCCGTTTGACATAGACCTACGTCCTTCTCCGCGTTTCGAAATGGGCGCAAAGTTGGGAAACTTGGCCACGGAAGGGACGCAACACAGATAACACCGGAACGCCGACCAATTTGCATCGCCGCGCTTCTTGACGACGCTCCGTGCCTGCTGCCGAGAACCGTGCAGTGCGCACGCGTGTCCTTTTAATGCGATAGCATTCTATAGCTGAATCCCTTAAATTTTCTGGCCTCATAATATGTGGCAGGTATGCGCACTAGGCCATTTCAGCTCATATCCGCACCCTCTTTGAAGGACCTGAGGACCTTGACGTCGTCCTTAAGTTCGTCCTTAAGGTCGTCCTGGTGGTCATCCTAGAAGGTCGTTTTAGACGTCCTCTAGGACGTCATTTTCGACGTCGTCCTTGAGGTCGTCCTAGAGGTCGTCCTAGAGGCTGTCTTTACTGACCTCTAAGACGACGTCCTCGACGTCGTCTTAGAAGTTGCCCTCGACGATTTCCTAGACGAATCGTATCGCAATTCATAGACGACAAACAAAAGTGGCTTCTACAGCAAGCAAAATATTGTTTGTATGTTTATACAGCCGGACGTTAGTCTGCCTCAGTGGGCGTCTGGTGTCTCAGCTGTAGATTAGTAATTTAGCCATTGCGGTACAACCGCTATGCTGGGGTCATTAACGTGCACCGCGCAATAGTGATACACGACCGCACGCCGGTATGATGCTCATCCGAATCGAAACGGGCGTGGGTGGGGGTTGAAAACAGGATCCCTGGGTCCTGCCCCCAGCGCGAGCTTTCACTCCACGTGCTCCGAGCTCGGGCCCTAATCTGGACACTTGGCGAGAAAGTCGGCGAGAAATCTGGCGGCCGTGATTGGCCAAAGCAGCACTTGACCTTGGCGCCGGCCAATCATAGCTGCCGGATTTCTCGCCGACGTTTTCGCCAAGTGTCCAGACAAGGGCACCTGGGGTGCGCTAGCCCACTCGCCCACCGATCCCCAGGTTTCTGCTGCAATTCCTTATCAACTGGCTTGCTCGTTTGTTCGCTTCAACGTGACACGCTCCAGTCTGATTGAAATGAAGGTAGACGCCGCTCCGGCAGCCGCAATTCCACAATCTTCGTTTATCGGTCTGGACAGCAACCTAGCTCGCGTCATATGTGGCATGGGCAGTTCACGCAACTTTCAAGCGCTGCTCGGCGAAGCATTAACTCCTCAATTCTCCCCTTTCCCCCTTCCCGTCTCATTTGTTGTGCCACCTACACGTAGTTCTACGGAAATGTATGCAGCACTTATGCATAAACCAATTTTTTCCGGTCTTTTCGTGTCAGCTCCTGTTCCAGACCAAGCGACCGTCGAGTCCACACAACAAGAGTCTCATGCAGCTGATGGGAGCCAGATGGAAGGAAGTGAGGAGTGTCCTCACACCATCTTACACCTCCACCAAGCTTAAAATGGTAAATCATTCAAACGTGTTCCCGAAAAGAGAGGGAGAAAAATAAAGTAAAAAGACACGTTTTTATCGCCGTAAAAAATAAACTACGCACCACCGAGGTCCCAGTATCCGCCCCATAGATAGCAGTAGCGGACGGGACCAGCTAACAAAGTTTGAAAACTATAACCGTAATGTTATTCAAAAATTTATGGCCGTTTTTTTTTTAAATTTTAAATAGCGAAATGGGGCCGACTTCCAGTAGCTGACAGAGTTTGAATAAGGTGGCGGCTACCACTGAAACTAAGGTGCCTGCACACCGATCGCTAGAGCTACATTTTAGGGAAAACTAAGCGCTCGGCATTTTGTAATTTATTTGTACTGCAATAAAAAAAAGAAAGAAAGAAAGAAAACAGCGTTACTTTTTTTACGCTCTGTAGATTTGGAGTACCCAGCGATCAATACTTAAATATACGTTTAAATTACATTTAGTGTGTAATGTATGTATAGGTTGTGCAAAGCAACCTTTACACACAAACACAAAAAAGAGATGTTTTAGCCGTTGATTTAATTTGGCCGGTCAAACTAAAACTATCTCTTCAATAAACTATCGACAATTTCAAAATATGCTTCCATTATACCTTCCGAAGTATACAATTCGCTTCATAGAAGTGCGAATCCAGTATGTTGTTAGTGTACAGCAAGATTCCATAAATCCAGGATCCGATAAATTTGATTCATTTGATGGCCCACCATGCCGGCGTATTTTAGTGTAAATAACCTTCAACGGCGTATCGTAAATTTTAGCTAAATAAGAAATCAAATTATGCTTTCTTTTTTTGCTCTTTACGATTTTAGATGTCAGGTAGCGTCATTTCGACCGTGGAAGAGCTGGTGGGCAGGGTCGGACAGATGGCAGAGAAGGACGAGGATTTCGAGATCGGCCCCATGTACCAGGCACTCACACTGGACGTGATCTGCCGCAGCGCCCTGGGCATCAACTACAACCTCCAGCAAAATCCCAAACACCCCTTCCTCCTAAGCAGCTGCATGCTTTTCGGAAGCACTTTCTCCTTCATCGCAGTGTTACTTGGTAAGCTCGTTAAGGCGGATGCCTCGGTAATATGTCTCGTTAATATAGATCGACCCCGGTCGTCCCGAGAAAGCGTTCATAATGTATGCATTCTACATTATTGAGAAGAAAATGCACGTCTCTTCACCCAGTTAGTTTTCGAAGATATTGTGTAGCGAAGCATCCGCACTAACGGGGTGCGTATTAATGAAACAAGACTCTAATTACACAAACTGAGTCCACTCCACCGTTCGATGGTCCAAGATATATTCGTTGTTTATATCCCGTCTAAAACAGAACTGCAACTTTTATATTTCGTCTTACCCCAACATGAACTATCCAAAAGGCTACATGTGCACTTACGTGGTTTTAGTTAAGGCTCCCGCGATCTAAAGCAATAGGCTTGTCCTTGTAGCATTATTTGGCGTCTATTTTAAGATGGCACAGAACGCAACACTTTTTTTTAATTTTTATAATAAACTACTTGACATGACAAGCAGTTCAGTAGAGTTTCTCATGGCAATCGGAAACAGTACCAAGAAAATAAAAACGACACAAAACACTAGCATTAGCGCAAGTAGTCTAATAGAGCTCTATTAGTCTTACAGAAAAGTAGGGAAAGGGGGAAGCTTCTTGTGCGTTATTTAAGTTGCTGCATGCCTCGGGGTTTAGATTATGACGTTTCCTAATCCACTCCCCCGCACACTCTCAATTCTTACGGCTATCCTTGGCTTCTTTTTTGCTTCTTGTCATTATTGTTTAAACAAACTGAGGAATTGATTTTTTTTTTTTTAAGAATAACATCAGCTGCTTCTCAGTTTCATAAATGGCGTTTTTCTGTGTCAACATTTAAGTTCACTTTATCGATACGCTTTTTGCCCCTTTGACGAACGTTCTCAGCGTCCTTCCCTGGACTTGACGGTCCACTGCGAGTCTTGAACGGCTGGAGGCTTCGCAGGATGAACAACGGAGTTCACCCTTTTCTCGATGTTCAAGAGAAATGCAAGAGCATTGTAACGCAACGACAGAAGGTCAGCGTCGAGGTATGGTGTGCGTGCGTGTCTGTCAGGGTGTGTGTCTGCGTTTGTGACACCTCGGAAGCTATTCAGTTCCAGAATTATCTGAACCAATTTAAAGAGAGTGAGGGAAAGAAGGAGAATAGAAAAATATATCTCCAATAAATTATGCTACGTAAATACTTAAAAGTTGTGAAAAACATTTTCCTTTCATTTTTTTTCTTTGTTTTTCAATTCATCTGTAAGGGTGAACAAGAATAAAAACATATTTTTTGAAATCGTAGAGGCTCATAATGCCGGTAAGGTTGCTGTATTTTAATCAAATGAGCACGCATTTCACACGATTGCGGCTCAAATAGAGGACATAAAACCAAAATATTACATTTCTATATCGTTTTTTTCTTGTAGTCGACTATTCTATATAAAATAATTTAAAAAATAAAAATTTACAAAAATGAGGTTTTTGAGAAAACACATTTACACATTTGTTATATCTCTTAACGTTTACGTGAATGTGGCGGAGCGGCTAGTCAACAGATCCTAATGATGTTATATCTACAATGGGCTTGTTTTGGGCTTTTTACGGAGCGAAAGAAAAAGAAATTACCTCAAGTACAGACAAAGTAAACACTTGTCAAAGTTTACCCAAAATCGATCTGAACGACGAGTTTGACATTTTTGTTCGAACAAATAAAATTCCTAAAAATATTTGAATACATCAAGGCATCTTCATAGCATCTATGAAAGGGGGGAAAAACGTTATGATGGTGAAGGAAAAACATTAGTGGCAGCAGAGGGTGTCAAACATACGACCTGCGACGGAAAGCAAAAATACTAGTTTCTGCCGCTATGGCTTCTGCGCTTCTTAACTCGAGAACAAAAAATCTGGGAAACGTGCGGTTTGCGCCGTCCTTCACTTGAGAAATGCACCCAAAACATATCTTTTCTTTGTCAAAATTAAAAATTAGGCCCTTTTAGCTTGCCCGATTTGAGATAAAACCACGCATATTCTGTAAACGACTTAATTTTCGCGAGGACCTAATTTTCGAGAATTTTGTGAATCGCCTACAAATCGCGAAAAATAGGCCCCGCGAACAATTCTGGGAAAATGTAAACGCATTGAAATCTATCTTGAGATCCCACCGCGTCGCAAAAATTAGAGCCCGCGAATCATTTCAAAACTTCAGCTTTTACCTAAATCGCAAAATATTGAGCCCGCGAAAAATAAGTCGTGAGAGACCGATTACCCGTCGTGGCGTATCTCCATCAAGGCTGTATAAACATAGGGAACAAACCAATTTCTTTTTTTGGGGGGGGAGGGGGGGATGGAGTTCGGCCTTCCGAACCCCATGCCCCCCCCCCATGGGCTTTCTAAAAAACTGGGCAAAATCGACGGGTTTTTAAGTTTCGGTTTGCTATCGGAGCGCATCTCAGCCCCAACGGCACCGCGCCCCGTGGAGAGATAGTGCAGCCAACCTCTGCTGTGCTTGTCGTCGTGCGACGCGGCAGCTGCTGGTTGCACTCTCTCTCCACGGGGCGCGGTGCCGCCGGGGCCGAGACGCGCTCCGATAGCAGACGGAATCTTGAAAACCCGTCGAATATGTGCGGTTTTTCAGAAAACCGTAAAATGCTTCGCGTGCCTTCTATCGTTCTGCTATTTGTTGATTTGGTGTTTTTTGACGATGCTGAGCAATTTTCTAATTAAAACCATGCCCTTAAACTCAACATTTAAAAAGTTTATTCCGCCAAAATAATTAATAACTTAATTATGCCGGACTTTAATAATTTTCCTAAGTAGACCCTTGGCCGAGGACCAACACTACACATGCCTTTTTTTTTTGTTGCGACGCGTAGGTTTCGCAATATCGAATTTGTCCACCTTTCGTGAAACACCCTGTATATGTCCGAAAGTTATATGATGTATATTAATAAGATAATAAAAGTGGTATAAAGCGTTAAAACACGAGTTTGAAATATTTTGATATATCAATGAAACATGTTCGGAATTTCGCTGGTTGCCGCCGCAACAACTGCCCTCGCGTACTATAACACACGTAATTCTTCGAAAGTTCAATGCTTAAGAGAGTGCTTTATTGTTAATTTTGGCGTGAGCAGCTTCCCCTGCAGAAAGACCTCCTGCAACTGATGATCGAGGCTAAGCAGTCGAGGGTCGACGTCGGCAGTGTCACATCCGACCAACTGACTGCAGCTGACGAAAATGAACACGAACTCAAGTCCCATATTCGTAAGCCAATCTATTTTTTGCGTGTTTTATTAAAGTTACAAGCTGCTTGGGTCGTATAGGGGGATGAACAAAATTTCGGAAAGCCGAACGCAATTAATTTTAACGAACGTAACTTTCTGATTATATTGAAGACACGTTTTTGCATACGCCATTTGTTTGCCGAAAACGAGGAATGAACAATGAGTAGGCGAACAGTTTTTCAAGAGGCGAAGTCTCTTCGCGTGCGCTGCGTTGTTAACTGCCCCAGCGCTACGGTATTACGTCAGAGATGCATTTTAATATTTGGTGACTGAAAGACACTGGTGAACCCTGTCGTTTAAGATTGCAGTGAAATTCTGACACTCGGGAAGTTGTATGTTGGAAAACGTCACAAAAAGTCTATAGGAAGTTTAGTACGATAAAAGTGCATTAAGCTAGACATTTGGAAGGGAAATGTTGTAACACGAGTGGATGTGTTGTCTGTGTGACAAAGAATTTCCGTTAATTAAAAAGGATGCATGTACTCAGGTGCCCTGGAAGTGTTATATTGCCGCGCGCTGTGCTGGGAAATCAACGCTCGGTCACGGAGCTCTAGAACGTTCTCGCTAATTCTTGTTCCGGACGTAACTTCCATCCTTTATTCCTGCTTTCTTGTTCTAGAAAGTGCGTGTTCATTCTTGCCCCGAGCGCGCTACGCTCGAACCTTCTCCGCCGAATCTTCGAGATAGTGACTCATTCTAGATAAGAGGCCAACCGCAACCTTGTCGAGTCAGTCTCACCCCAGCGTTCGACTCTGCTCTCTCGCCGACTTCGACGCCCGCGACGCTCTGCTGTTATCTTTTGTTCCGTTTTTATTTTTGGTTGGCACAAGTTCGCCCTTATTAAACGTTTCAGTTTCGCCAGTTATTCTGTTTTCTTCGCCTGTTCATTCCCGGCATTTTTGGTGGAGGTGCGGGGTACCGCATGCCCGTGCAACGTTCCCCTCCAAGGGCCCGCAGTGCAAGTCCGATCCCGAGCCCCCGAGGACCCAACGAAGAGAGGACCGAGACCCGATCAAGTCGCCGCATCCAAGGTCTACCCCCGGAACACGGACTTCTGCCACCCACGACTAAGCCGAAGACGACGATGGCCAACGAGGCGCAGACCCCGGCCGCTTCGGCCGTCGTGTACCTGCCGGTCGCACCCAGGACTCCAACGCCTTTCCGCGGAGACGTCCACGAGGACATTGAAGACTGGCTGCAACACTATGAACGTGTAGCCCGCCACAACGGATGGACGACTGAGCAATGCCTCAACAATCTCTACTTCGCACTTGAAGGGACAGCGAGGCATTGGTTTGAAAACCACGAAGCGTCCTTCACTACGTGGGAGTCCTGCGCCGTCGAGTTGAAGCGAACGTTCCTCAACCACCACCGTCGGCAGCGAGCGGAGGACCTTCTTCAAACAAGGGTGCAGGGCCCCAACGAAAGCGTGACAAGCTTCGTAGAAGATGTCATGCGCCTATGCGCCCGAGCCGATCCGGAGGCAGCCGAAGAGAAGAAGCTTCGCGTCCTTATGCGTGGCGTGAAGGCTGAAATTTTTGGGGGCCTTGTCCGCAATCCCCCGACAACCGTCGACGGTTTTGTGGCTGAAGCCACTAACATTGAGCGAGCGCTGTTGGCTCGAGCAAGCCGTTACCATCGACTCGCCGGCGTGCCTGCTCCTCCAACCGCCGCATCTTTCCTGAACACCACCAGTGTCGACGGCCTTCGAGAAATCATCCGCGACGTCGTCCGGGAGGAGCTCGGGAAGCTGCTACCCGCCGCTAACCGAACCGCTTCGCTCTCCATCGCCGAGGTCGTGCGGGAAGAGGTGCAGTGAGCCATTCAATCAGAGGCTCCCAGAAGCGTAGCAGTCCCCGAAGAACCGACGCTAACTTACGCCGCAGTGGCCCGACGGCCACCGCCTCCTCCTCGCGCCTATGTCGCGCCGCCCCGACGTCTGTCTCCTCCGCCGCCGCACGACCGACGACACGACGACCAGGTCCAGTACGCCTGCCAGGCGCATCACGCACCCCGAAAGACCGACGTGTGGCGAACGCCCGACCGACGCCCTCTGTGCTTCCACTGCGGGGAAGCAGACCACACCTACCGCCGATGCCAATACCGACGACTCGGGCTGCGCGGGTTCCACCCGAACGACCCGCGCCCTCGTTATGGTGAACGCCCTCGGGAGATCAACGAGTACCTGCGACGAGCACAGTCCCCCGAGCCTGGGCACCGCCGAGAGTCCCAGTCGCCGTCGCCACGACGTCCAGCTTCGGCGATGCACCGACCCCGACGTGAAAGCCTGTCACTCCTCGCTCCTCGCCGGGGGAAACTAGGCGCGGCAACCCCTGGAGGTGGAGTTGCCGAAGACGACCGACGCCAAGATCCTCCACGAACTTCGGAGGGCCCCCACTCAAACACTGCCTGAGACCGAAACGACGCTTCTGCAACGGTAAAGAATAACCTAAACATCATTATTGACGGCCACGACCCGTCGGCTCTCGTCGACACTGGAGCAGACTACTCCGTCCTGAGTGGGAGGCTCTCCCAACGCCTTCGGAAAGTGACGACGCCGTGGGATGGCCCACAGATACGGACTGCCGGGGGACATCTTATCACGCCAGTCGGAAGATGCACCAGCTCGCGACGACAAGGAACTTAGCTCCGTGACCGAGCGTTGATTTCCCAGCACAGCGCGTGGCAATATCCCTTGCTAATTCTCCTTATACAAATACGGGTACCATCACGTAACCTACGCTCGAAAGGCTGCACTGTTGTATGGCTTTCCCGACCGCTCTCGTGAGCGCGTCGGCTATGGACCAACGGAGTCGGGAAACCTAACTAAAATACTTTACTCTGCAAGGAACCAGAGCTTGGGCATGGGCAGTCATGCGGAACTCGCAGTGCGGTCTCTTCACCGTCAGGCCGGTTGTTCTTCTATATCTCGCGCAGGGCTGCCTCGACCTCGGGTCCCTCGTCGTCCTTCTCTTCCTTTTTTAAAAATGCAGACACTTCAGAGCATAGCGTCTTGGAAGGCTCTGGTGGTCCTACAGGGACGCACCGCCACATTACTCCCCCTCCACTGAGGAGGCGAACGTTTCAATGGCAGGGTCACACAGTGGCCTCGGGAAATCGTGTGGGTGATGGGAGACGGCCGGTAGCGGCTTGTGCTTGAGGATCCGGAATGCCAAGGCGCGCTGGCCAGTATACATGGCGTCCAGAGCGTGTTCTCGTATGCGGCTGTTGAGTGCTCGAAGAGCAGGGGTGCGCACGATCGACAGGATGTTGAGGGCGTAAGTGATCTAGTGGGATCGGGGTTGTTGCTGACGGCGTTTTCGGCTGGGGAGTGAGGTTTGGTAGTGTAGTTGACGGAGCACTGTCCAGATGGGCTGGCTTCACGCGGTCCAATGCAATGACTTCCTGCCGTCTGCGGATGTCCAATGTCATTGTTTTGGTCCCTCGGCGCAGCACCTTGTGCGGGCCGTCGTAGGGTGGTTGGAGCGGCTTCCGTACGGCGTCATGTCGCAAGAAGACATGGGTACCCGTCGCCAATTCATCACTCACAAAGGTAGACGGGCCAAGGCTTAGTCGCGGTGCTGTGGCGCGGAGCTGTTTCATCGTCTCTCGGAGTCTGGTCAGGCGAATGCAGCTCCCGGAGTTCCTGTGGTGGCCAAACCGCGGCGCCACTACGTAGGCTTCACTGTTGTACGTCCATCCATACAAGAGAACTACCGTTCTCTCTCTATCCAACAGGCCCCAGACTTCTATGCGGGTATTTACCGCTACAATTTCGAGCGCTCGAGTTGGATGTGTGCTATTGGTTACCATACTAGTAGTGACCTATTCTTTGTGTGCCCTCGTACCTAGCTACGCTGTCCCCATATCCGGTGTGTGGGCCAAAAAAGTAAGAAATTACAACGTATGACACGTAAAAAAATATAAAAGAGGCACAAAAATGAAATATTATTAAAATGTTAACACTTTCCACTGGCGTGGCAAGAGCAAAACGACATTTCCGCGCGTACCGGAAGTTCCGCATTTCAAAATGGCGACGCTCTTACAGAAAACCGTGCATGAAAAACAAACACGTGAAAAGGGTTCGGTCATTCACGATTGTACTTTTTTTCGTAGCTCTTTAACGGTCGCGGCGCTCTCTCGCGCGGTGCGCGCGGCGCGTTTCGCGAGGTAAAGTTTTCAGCGCTTTTTAGCGGGAAAGTTTGTTTTTCTTTTGCACCGAGTTTGTCGCTATGGCAGTGCCTCACTCTTACGGAAGGTACTGCTCTGCGAGATGGTGCAATAACTCGACGAAAAACTCGGAATGCAGACAGTTCCGGTTTCCGACAGACGACAGGTAAGCCTCTAAGGTTTTGTAATTTCGGAGTCGGAAATGGAAGCATAGAAATATATACTTTGTAATCTTCCCGATAGAGCGGTCAAATGGATCAGGTACGCGAATCGGCCGGAGTTCAGAGCTGTGCCCATGAGCAAGCTGCACGAGCGCCGGCTGTGCAGCGCCCACTTCAAAGACAGAGCATTTGCAAGCCACAGAAGGATACGTTTGCGGCCGAATGCATGTCCTTCGGTTCCAGTAACCGACCCAAGATTGAAAGAGCTTGTTCCTCCAGGTGAGCTTGTCTTAGCACAATGCTCAGTTAGTTTCATATTTGGTTTGGAGAAGCTGATCTGTTGTTATATTATTCAGAATTCTTCATGGGGAGCTGCGACTCACCTGCCAGCCCCAGTTCCGGTAACTAATGTTTCATATTAGTTTCTGAACTATATTTCACAAGTTGGGATCGGCCTTCTTTTTTATACTAATGTGGTCAAATCTATTGGCATAAATTTAGTATAAATTCATAGGCTCTTTTTCAGCTCGCCCGTCCTCAGCGCCGCCAACTGCCGCCTCTTTGCCGGAGGAGGCGCAAGTGGAGCCCCACCTTGGTGAGGAACTAAGCTTATACTTGACGGGTTTTTCTAGACATGAAAGCAATATAG